CTCAATGCGTGAACTGACTTCAGCGGTTATGCGCCCATCGTTGCCGGTGCAGTTGCCAAAGCAGGTGAGGTGAACAGCTAACTTGAGTTTTTCATCATCAAGAGGCTGGTGCTACTGTAACAACACCACTTTGAAGGTGCGAAACGAATACCAAATGATTGGTTCACCTTATAGAGGTTATTCAGGGTTGATTGCACCACCCCAGCATCGTTAAACAGCAAGATGATATTGTCCGTATAATCAAGACAAACTAGCTTTTCACCAAGAAAAACCTCGACGCCAGTATCCTGAGACTCCGCAAGGGAACACTCCACGATGCAGTTTAGGACAATAATGGAAAAACGGAGCAACAGTGACGAATGTCACTTGTTGTCGGAAAGGCGTCTGACAAATCACCGTAGACCCTGATGCGGAATGCCGTGTTCGAGTGTAGCGCAAGTAAAATGTTCACATATTTCATGGGTACACATTTCCGCACAAATATCAAGAATTGATCGATCAACTGAGTCGAACGCAGTGTTGAAGTCGAGGAACGCAGCAGTTGTCGGCCTGTGACATGCGTGGCGCTGCTCTAGCACTTGCCGCAGAATGAATATGTGGTTTACACAGCCCCCTCCTGGACAGAAGCCTGCCTGCTCTTCTCTATTCCGGGATTCCCGCTCCGCAGTGAGGCGATGAACGAGAATCGTGGGAAGTAATTTTGCCACAACCGGAGTTAAACTAATGCCCCAGTAGTTAACACAGTCTGTGCGAATGCCCTTCTTGTATTTCGCCACTATAATCGATCCATTCCATTTAGCAGAAGCCCTCACCACCATGTTTAAATAGTATAGGTGCGACGGAATCCGGGCCAGTAGCACGAAAACGATGAAGCGCTGTGATCGCTTTTCGGACATCAGCCTCCGATGGATCCTCTAACCTAACCGGCCATGGCTCAGCCTGCAATACTTGAGTAGGAAGAGATCCAGAAGCAAGGGGACAACTGAACTGATCTCGAAAGTGCTCCGCCCAGCGAGCCGTACGGCGTTCCTTATGGTGAATAATGGCACTTGCACAGTCTGGCTGTCGCATGCGCGGTTTCCTGGGACCAGTGGTGCGGATAAGTTGGAAGAGCTTACGATATTTGCCTACTGCTCCTGCTTTCTCCAATTCTTGAGCTACACTTATCCATGAGACTTCCTTATCAGCACGCAGGTTCCGATTTAGTCCGCCTAGATACACTGTGCTCAGAGCCTGTCGGGAATATTTTTCTGGATTCCAACAGGTACACCGACCTCTCGGATATCTAGTGATAGCTGCGGTGGCGACTGATATTGTCGCAAGCAAAGGCTCCCGCATGATGCATGGCGGCGGAGATCTTATTCCATTGAAGCATAGTGTTATTAGGGCAAGAGAGTGAAAGCTTCGTAGCCAGGACATCCTGGTAGGGTTGTTTTACGGAGGACGGAGACAATTACTCAGTTGCCAATGGAGGGAACGCTTGGTACGCCTCCGAGTAAATGTAATGGCAAAACGACAGTGTACCAAAGCATGAACAGAGTAGACTAATGTACTCCAGAAACAGCGACAATCCAGGATAGAACTACACTACCTGTAACTTATAGCAATGTGATCTAGTTGAGTCCATCTCTGGTCAGCTATAGGTGGACGCCAAGTGGCAATTCGGCTCCCACTGTGTCTAAAAGTGGTGCTACTAAAAACCAAACGGTGCGCGGCACACAGTTGCAACAGCGGCTCGAGTGTCCGTACGGTCGGAGTTAAGTCCATACTTACCAACTAGCTGAGCTTCTGAAGTGCTCAGAATACCTACTTGCGTATTCACACACCCGCAAAAACTGTGATAAGTGAACAGGCAGCACTGCGAGGCAGCGTGTTTATTTCGTAGTAGAAGGTGTCCTCTGCGGCACCTGAACTGTAGTTGGTGGGGTATATGCGGAAACCATAAACAAACAGCGTTTAGTGCTACTTCGTGAATCAAGCATTAGTTGATGTCGTCAAACGGACTGCACACAAACGGCTGTTCACGGGAGTCCATCATCATCATCATCATCATCATCATCATCATCATCATCATCATCATCATCATCATCATCATCATCATCATCATCATCATCATCATCATCATCATCATCATCATCATCATCATCATCATCATCATCATCATCATCATCATCATCATCATCATCATCATCATCATCATCATCATCATCATCATCATCATCATCATCATCATCATCATCATCATCATCATCATCATCATCATCATCATCATCATCATCATCATCATCATCATCATCATCATCATCATCATCATCATCATCATCATCATCATCATCATCATCATCATCATCATCATCATCATCATCATCATCATCATCATCATCATCATCATCATCATCATCATCATCATCATCATCATCATCATCATCATCACCATCAATACACCTCAGCTGATGTGCTGCAATAGATTAAGCAATGTAGACTTGGAAACCATAAAAAAGTAACAATGCGAATATCACATTTTTAATGGTTGTTGGAGGGGGAAGCTAAAGGGAAGGAAAGGACTCACAACACAAACGCCACTGAGGTCAACTCTGCCATGTCAGCTAGTGTATCCAATCAAACGTGTTCATCGTCCTTAGGACCCCCACCCGGCGGTCGGAAAACACCAACCGACGCCAAGTTCGAAGTGACGGACTTGGTTCCTCTCGACCAAGTCATCGCTTGGACTCCCTTCCTCTTCGTCCATCCACAACGCGCATGCGCATAAAATGGATGAAAACAACTGGAAAGTCAGAGAACGATGACTCTGCTTTGGTGCTGAGGACGATGCCCACACTAGCCTGACCCGTGGTTGACGCATCAGTGTCTCCGGATGTGTGCAACCATAGCAAGAGGATGAACCGGGCACACTTAATTCAACAACTCCGTGCGGATCATTGATTCTGACTTCGGGCACATAACACCCATCAACACCCAGTGGGTCCAACGTACGTGCGAATACATCCAGTTGAACTAGTTGTCTTAGACTGCGAACGTTGAACGCCGCCAGGGAAAGGGAAATTGCGACCTTATAAAGAGCTATTAGCGATTGATGCCCAGTGGGCGGTGCAGGAAGACAGCTGCAGATGGTATGACTACAGTGGCAATGTGATCGCTGTCAATTAATAATAATAATAATAATAATAATAATAATAATAATAATAGTGTCAGATGTACACCGCAACGGCGCTTCGATGCCGTGCGACCACCACCAGTCGCACACGGGCTGAGTATACCGCGAGGACGTCCACCCCTAGGCGGATCCGGCCGGTGGCCGAGTGGTTGGCACGTTTGCTTTCCAACCATAAGGTCACCGGTTCGAATCCGCGTAGGGGTGGGCGTCCTCGCGGTATACTCAGCCCGCGCGCGACTGGTGGTGGTCGCGCGGCAGCGAAGCGCCGTTACGGCGTATAAGCTGACACATTTCATTCATTTCAGGCGGATTCGAACCCACGCCGCAAGATTTTGAGACAAGCTCGTTACCTCTAGGCTACGGGCCGACTGGGCACTATAGAAGACCGTTAATGGAGATTGGGAGGGGATTAAGGGAAGGAGGTGGAAAAGAATCAGCCAGCAGTAGCATGTGTTCGCTTATCTGCCCTGCTGTATGCAACAGACAAGGCGGAGCTTGTTAAGCTGCGCAATGACTGATGGAGGATGTGGTTGAAGTTTGAGGAAGTGGTCATGGTACTACGTGGGCTGAGGGTGCTCAGACTTAGACAGGTGGACGATTAGGGTCCTCAACCAAAGCGTTTGGCTCAAAAGCTTATCCGCAAGGCAGTGGATGTGACAAGGAATCAATTTTATAGAAATGAGCGGTATCTCACTTCAAACCCCCAACCAGGAGACTGAGTTTGTCTGACCTCTAACCATTGACCAAACTGGTAGTAGCTCACCAGGGTCCCGAGGTCCCCACCCAGTATAGCTCATGATCGGCGAGGCATGCAAACCGTCATACTACCTTAAGGTCCAGTCTTGTTACGATCCGCATAATGAGATCCAATGGATCCAATGGCAATGAGCCTAGAAAGTTAGACAGACCAGAACTCGAGATCGTGGGTAAAAGTGATAACATCTAGAAGCGGCGGATGAGACGCAAGAGTGCCAGTGAGTTCACAGCACATAGAGTCCCTTATCACCAACGTGGTCTTGCCAGAAGATAAGACCGGAGTTGACACACCGAGTGGCAGACTCATCCATCCCCGTGGTAACGAGTAGTCAACTAGGTGAATTGACCAAGACAGCCAGTTTGCAGCTATGCGATAAGTGTGATCATAGCAACGTAGGTGAGAAGTTCAGCGGACGGTCCCTACCACTGTGCCAAGCGTTGCTCACGGATCTTAGTGGTATAGTGATCATGGCGTCAGCCATTAATCACTAGGTCCCGAGTTCCACCCAGCTCAGGCTATCTCCATCTGATGACCAAGACGAAACCGGTCATGGAGTGTCAGTGTTGAGGAGCAACACCGAAACACCTCCAGACGGTCCGGCACTGTGACAGAGGAGTTGTTGCTAAGCAACAGATGGACATCGGCGGTACTCGCACGATGCGCCTACCAAATTCCATTGTAAGTACCAAGGCACCAGCGAAAACACAAGGTAGTACGGCGCTACAATGATGAAGTCGCACACGAATCACGGATCCCTGAGCTACAAATGAGATCACTAGTTTAGGGGCAAGAGGCTTAAATTACAATCGTAACAAAGGCATGAAAGCGCGCTGGAAAGCAAGGCCAAATTTTGCATTGCTGAACAAGAGGGCGATGGAAATGAAGCAATAAAGGTCGATACAGAGCCAGCTCGAAGCTGGTTACGCATTTGGGAGCATGAACAAGGTTTCGCAAATATTTAAAATAGTGTTCAATGAACGTAGAATACGGAGGATATGCAACACTCCAAATAGTACGGTTAGCGATGGATGATGGCGGACGTTTCATTAAGAGAAAATAAAAGCTCACTGTTAGCATTGTGTCCTCCTGTAACACGCTTTACAGCCGCCGATACAGTTTCAGCCATATCAGATAACGAGAAGGCCGACTTTAAAGTGTCGCTTGTTCGAGATTCTGAGAACTGACTCCGCGCGTGAGATGATGGCGTCGTTTTTGTCGAGCGGCCGATCAACGTTTCTCCACCCAACGGTTTGGAATGGAGGGTGGCTTTCTGACAGGATGCCGGTGAATGGCGGGATGATGACCGACGGACTGATGAAGATCGGCGACTGAGTTCGCGAGAAGAACCTCGAGAGACAGACCTTGAAGATCGGTATGATGTACGTGAAGTTGAAGTTGACGACCTCCAACTACGGGAACGCGAGCGACTGGAGTAACTTCGACGATGATACCTGCGACGATGAGTTGACCGAGAACGACGACGACGAGCTCGGTCATGTGCTGAACTCGATTTGCTACTACGACCACGATGACCGCGTGCAGACACGTTGGACGAGTCGCGTGATGATGATCGGGATGAATACGAGTCTGAATGTCTTCGGCGATGATGGTGGCGACGGTAGCATGATCGTCGTCGCCAGTCGGATGAACGACTACTCACCGAAGAGTACTCGGAGCCGTGTCGTGACGAGTGAGAGCTGAAAGAGCCACCAGATCGAGAAAGTTTGTGTTTGTCACCAGATAAATCGATTCGATTTGTCGAAGGTAAGTCCACCTCCCTCGGTGAATGTGTGCGCGACCTTGAGGAGGCGTGCGAGTAATATGACCTCTCGCGTCCTCGGTGTGATCGTTTGGATTTGTGCTGTTCCGTCCGGGGATGTTTGTTCGACGATTTGTTGGAGGGTCGAGTTAAGCTGGTACCTTTAGATGTCTTGGTGGTAGGAAGCACGGGTTTCTCATCGTTTTCTTTGTTTCTGGCCTCATGGCGACCAGTGTGAGAAGATTCTGTGTAAACACAACGGGCACGCACATAAAATAGATGGAAAAATTGGAAAGTTAGAGAACGAGGGAATATTAAATCCAAGGGTGGTTAGTCAAGGTGATATAGAAGCGGCAAACAATGCTCGCTGAAATAGCAGCCCTAGATTTAACGGTGATTCCAGTGTAACATACGAGAATCTGCTAAGATAATAATTAGTGAATTTCCGCCTAGATCGCTCGTTTCTTCCAACAGACAGACGGAATACTTTGCAGTGTTAGATGATCAAGGGGATCAATTGCTTGATGTTCTCAGCCTCAGAATGTCATGCGCCTGATCCACACAGCTTGTAGCTACGAAAAAGTTGTCTGAGGAAGTTACTCATGCGCGTAGTAAACTAGGCGGTGAAACAGAGCTAAACAAACATGGTAAATGGATCAACAGAGCATTTCAAGTATCTGCTTATTGACAGAGAAAGTTAATATTGCTTCGCTGTGCTGCAACAGTATTAGTCACATTAAAGAACCGAAGCAAAAGTTAGTGTGTGGCTGGGGACACGACCCAGCTGCGTAAGGCAGGCGTCTGCAGCAGGCCGGTACGCAGTACTGACGCTTCGTTGCCGCGCAACCAGCACGTTGCACGTGAACAAAGGTTAGTGAGGGGCTCGCCCGGTCTCCTACGCAGGCCCGGACCCGCGCCCCTAGTTTACGAGGTAGACAGTTAGCTACGTAATCACTTGGCAAGATAGTGACCGAACCGGATAGCTAGAGCGTAAGATTGAAGCAACAAAGCAATCGATACCAGTGTATCAGTACTTACGCCGGGGTTTCGTTGCTATACAACTGGGACAACCATAATAATGGAGGAAAAACACAAGAGGAGCCAACATGGAACCAGAATGCCCTAAATGAACGCCCAGCACCGAGGCACCTACGCCTCAGCAACAAAAGATGCAGTTACAAAAAGCTGGTAATCGTGCACAAAATAAGCGGAATCAAAGGGGCAGCCACATAAGGGAGTTCACCTATTGCGTCCATGGAGTGGGAACACCGGGAAAGTAATGGTGAGCTAAACCAGGTGATATTTGGTGCCTCAGTGGGTTGTTTAGTAAACACGGAACGCCAACGTTGGCTAGGGCATACCGTCTGTATAAAAAAGCATCAACAGTAGGCTTTGCTGACCCGCAACCGCCACCAATCGCGCGCGGCTTAAGGATATTGCGAGGGTCGCCCGGTCCCGCATGCAGACTAGAACCCGCGACCTCGGGATTACAAGGCAGGTTTGTGACCCTTTAGGATATGAGCCGTAAGCCCATTTACAGTCTTCATTACCGCTCAATAAGTGCCGTCGCTGCAATAAGTTGGAGAAATAACGAGGTAGCCAGTCGATGGCTTGGTACAAATGCATGAGGAAAGTGACTGAGAAAATTAGTCAGGCCGATGCATGGTGTGTTCATCGAAGGGGGGGTGCAGACTCTACCGGACATGATGCAGTCGCGCAGTCAGTGGCGTCTGTGCATTCGACTTCTTGCACATAATTGTCAATATTCCATCCGCATGAGTCTTACTTCTCTTTCAAGTCACTTCTTTTGTAGTGTGTTGTGTAGAAGAAACCGTTGCCCTTTTGACATTGAACGAAGGCCGATGCAGAACGTGGCTGAATTCGATGAGAAATACATGGTTGTACGAGAGCTCGGATACTACCAAAGCGTTAGAACCAAGGTATAACGAATAAGCAAAGTTATCAACCGAAACGTCTGGTTCTAAAGACCTACTGCAACACAGTCGAAATGTGCTAATGATCGTTTCGTAGAAATCAACGCAAATCCAGGCCAGACCCGTAATTGAAAAAGCCAGGAGAATGACTCTATGGTTTTTGAGCCCTGGTCAAACTGGTCAGAACCGATCACAAGGAGCGCGACAACACCAAATAATGTAACCAATGGACCGGAGGGGCAAGTGTAACATCGTACCACCTTAAGGTTCAGTGTTGTTGCAACACGGTTTACCTAAATGTTGCCCATTCAGTGGCGCGTGCAACGTGGTAACCAGGACAGGATGAGTATCAAGGACCAAATGGTATCGCGACCATAGATAACAGTCACCACGAGCGGCGGCAGAAGCAGCAACAACGGCAGGAGTAGGTGGGTAGGATTGGACAGGGCGATGAGTACACAAATGAAAGTCGTACCGACGGTTCGCTGCCACGCGGCCACCAGCAGCGGCGTGCGGATCGCGAGGAGGCTTGCACATGCGCAGACTCGGACCGATGATCTGTGCAATGCGGGCCAGACGCCCTATCCGTTAACTTTCCCCTTCCCCCCTTCCGATAGGGCACTGCGTGAAGACACTGCGTCAGACTTGTAAAGAAACCAACCCAAAGAAAATGATATAAGAGTAAGATGCAAAGAAACGACTTGTGGAGGTGTGTGGAACTACCTAACCATCAACTCAGACGAAGGCGGTGTAGTGCAGTAGATATGTCGTGCACTAATAGTGTATATATCGCATGCGAAACAAGAAGGGAATAAAAACAAGGGACAACACATGAGCCCAAACACATATGTACAACAATGCATTATGAATACTCTGTTGGTGGGTCCGGGCAAGAGTATCATCACAAAAAACCTCACTTTTCTTCTTTTTCTTTTTTGACTCGCTCACTGGAGCAGACGGCTCAGTGGGTTTGACATTTTCGAGTACGGCGTCTTTCGTCCCGGCCTCGGGTAACTTGGTTGGAGCTGTGGAAGTTTCGAATTCGCTATCGCTGGAATCCCAGGTTGACTTTGAGGTGGTTTTGATGACTTTAAAGTGATTAGATGTCAATTTGTGCGGAGCGTCGGCATTATCGGGAGGAAGAGATCTGGGGTGAGCCGTGGGTTGGTCAATGTGGGGGTTCCGAGTGTGTGGCAATGAACTGGTACGTTTCCTGGGCACTGGGCTCTTATCGGGTTGTAAACATGAATCGGCTCGCTGTTCCTCTGGAGAGTGACTATCTTCTGAATTATGGTACGAGACCAGAGAAGAGCGCCCGCCTATTTGTTCCGGATTGACCCGGCGACCGCTGGAGCCTGAAGAAACACCATGGTCACTGTCATGGACTGAGTCGTCAGAGGCGTAACTGTTGCAGTGGATTTCTGCGTGCAATCGCCGGTTCGAACCCTCTTGTGGAGTACTCTTCAGGCGCTTGCTCGAGTCAGGATCGGAGCGAACTGCACTTTTGCGTTTATGCGATCGCTTTTTCTTTGCAGGAGGCACTGCAGAGCAGAGGAGAAGCGAACGATAAACAACGGATAAAAACGATAAGTGGACAGAGCAAGGTGTCATGAGGTTTAATGCAAGTAAGACGACGGCAAACTGGTCACAAAAAGCGGTTTCGCTGCGTCACTGAAAACATAACGAGTGAATGTAGTGAGTCGACCAGTTACGGGGTGTGTAAAAGCCAAGACAGTCACCATAAAATACATGAGCCACAAGAACAGTTTCTGAGTTATACGAACCCTCCGAACAAAAACCGGGGTCCAAAAGGTTGTGAATGCAGGTCATCTTCTTTTTACGTAGTGCGTGGGCGCAGGTGAGAAATGGGTTCCCCGCCACACTTTATCTCCGCTCACTAACGTGTTGATGGTAGAATATAAATGTCCGAGGCGAAGGGTAGTCCCAAGCTGGCGGTGCACTGTTGTTGAGTGTGTCTGACATAAAACTACCCTGGGGAAAGGTAATGGAGAAAAGTAAAGTCGGTGTGCGATGGTTAGTGGGCTGAAACTCCACGACTCAGTCCACGCGCTGGCATGACGGATGCGTTATGGAAGGAGCAGCTGCAAGCGCTAATGGGTACAAAAAAACAAGGGATGAGAATTTTACGCAGTACAGCTATGGGAGGGGAGCGCAGAGGACAACAACAGTGCCCACTTCGTGGAGCGAAAGTGGCCCTTATGAACGATTAATCGGATCAAACGCTGGGAACACAAGGTACGTCAGTAACAACACAACCCACTCACTGGTAACGGTGTGTGGTGACGGCGTGCCCGAAACGACATTCTCAGTGCTACTCCCAACAAGCGACTGCTTCCCATCGTTTTCGAGTGGGTCGAATTGCGCTGATGAGCACGGACGACTTGAAGCCAGTCCGGATCGTTTGATGGGGAAAGAAGCGGAGGTAGAGGAGCCGCTGCTCCCGGATCTAAATGTGGTAAAAAGGCAGACGGATTTGCTGACTTCCGAGCTAGCCCCAATGCGAGGCTCAAGAAATAACGACATGAGAGCAGGGCAAAAAAGGAAAAGGCATTACCACAGCAAAAACGCTCACCTTGGACGATCGGAGTGCTTCGAGTCGTTTTCTTTAGCATACTATGACCGAAAAGCAATCAAAAGGAAGTGAAAATGAGATAAACGAGGCACAGGTATGACGCAAGGATTGGCCACTTTCGTTCGATAGGAGGGGAAATGTGTGTGGGTTTGTGTTGAAGAGGGTTGAAAAATTGGATCGCACTCCTTCGCTCAGGGAAGCAGCGAGTGAGGCATGTGTGCCGAAAAAGTGGTTGTGTAGACGGACAACAAACGTAAAGTGAAACAGGCAAACGAAAACAAAAACATGCGCCGCGACTTGGGGGTGAGGATGCACTTCAGTGCTTTCAAAACGACGCTAATGATGATGAGGAAAAAAACAAGCCGTCGAAGCGCGTCGCATGACGAGTTAAAGAATAGGCCAGCGGAGAGAAAAGTCGATAAAACATGCAGCGGTGACAGATTGAGACAGTGCAACAGAATCTCGTTGTGCTGTCGCGTCCTTGGGAGTGGAAGAGCAGACGGAACAGAGAATCAGAACAGTGAAGCGATAGTTGGCTGGCACCCGCGAGCGAACAAGCAACATGTAGCACAAATGGCTCGGGGATGGGGTTATTGTTGAAAAATGGTGTTGGCGCAAAGCACACAAACGTAGACTTCCCCAGACACACACACCAAGTGCAAAAGGAACAAACGAACAGCTCGCTTAATTGACTATGGAAAATTACAAAGCGAAAAAAACGAAAGCATAACAATGGACCGGTAAAAATCAATACAAACGTGACACAACATACCTAACCGCTGGTAGGGTGACGAAAGTTCAAGTACAGACAAACAAAGTTTAGGTGGATATGATCAGAACGGGATTGGAGAACCAACAGTAGCACAAACAGTACAAGAGGGAGGGAAGAGATGCAAGCGGAAAATCAGATGTGGAATAGTATTCAGCTAGAATGATAAACTGATACCGTAATACCAATGTATATAGAACTCACTTGTTTTGTTGAAAGGGAGCCATCCGACGAGTCCACTGACTACAAAGTGAAGCGAAGTGAGAAAAATGACGACACGTAAATGAGTAAAAAAAGTTCTTTCCCTACTGGTCTACATAAAATCATCAATGATGGAGCCGATTTCAGAAAAGTTAACCACAGATAGAGAAAGAAGCAAGGCATTAGCAGCGTGTGGTACTGACGCTTAGTTGCCATATGACCAAGCACAGTGGCGCGCGGACCATCGACATTGCGGGGCTGCTCTCGGGCTACGCAGACTTGAGCCAATGACATTCTGGTTATGAAGTAGACGCCCCAGGACATTTTCAAAGTGGATCGGTCGCAGTGAGACTGGAGCTGAATGTGGTGCGACGGTTTGTGTACCATTTGGGCTATAATGGGTGGTGACCCCGGGCCGTTTGAGAACTACTCCCACCAGCGTGGTCAATGGTTAGAGGTCAGACAAACCGTCTCCTGGCTATCCAGGTTGGGGGCTAGAAATGGGATGGCGTCCATTTCGGTAAAAACAAACCAATTTCACTTACCTGTTGCTTTGAGGACAGACTTTTGAGCCAAAGGCTTTGGTTGAGGACAGTAATCGTCCACCTCCCTAAATTTGGGCGTCCTGGCAGTATCTCAGCCCACGTAGAATCATGACTACTTGCTTAAACTTAAATTATATATTGTATCGAGAGCAGATCAATTGGCACCCTGATCCCGGATCACTTCCTACCCAGATGGTGCAGGCTGAGCCATGACCGGTTAATTTAGAGACAGGTCCGAAACGAGATCACAACCTTCAATCATTTACCTGCTACTGGACAGGATTCCCTAGCACCCGTACTATTTAAGAATGGTGGTGAGGTCCTCTGCAAAGTATTGGCTTCCGTGTTTGAATAGGTGTGGGAGGAAGAGACCATTCCAGCTAACTGTACTGAATCGATTATAGTGGAATTATACGAGAAGGGCATTCGCACCGAGTGTGTTAACCACAGGAGTTTTAGCTTAACGCCAGTCAGTCCGGATGCACCAACCGAAGCCCACTTCGAAGTGAGGATTTTTATCTCTCTTGACCAAGTCATCGCTTGGCCTCCCCTCCTCTTCCAACCGCACCCCCGGCGCGTAAACAATGCACGTCGCGGAAGTCGGTGTGCTGGCATGTGCAACACGTGGCCCAACCATCGGAGCCTGGTACGTGATATAATGGTGCTGAGCGATTCACTCGTTCTTCCTGCACCAAATACGCGACGTCGAACACGCTCATGGATCACGCGGTGCTCCCACCAGACATGAGCTAAGCTGCGAAGGCAGCGATGATCGAATGTGACGAGCCACTTTATGTCTGTCGACCTGATGGGCCAGGTTTCACAACCATATAGGAAAGTTGAACGGACGGCTGCGTTATAAACTCTGCTCTTTAGGGCAAAGGTAATGTCGCGTCTGTGCCACAGGTGGCGGAAATTCGCAAAAGCACCTCGAGCTTTTGCTGTACGGTTCGTAAGCTCATTTACGATCTCACGGGCGCTAATATAGCTGGCTAGGTAGTAGAATTCCTGAAGGACTTCTAGCTTATCACCACAAAACGTTAGCGCAGAGATGAGTCCCTGCCAATCCTTGATAGCGAGGAACACAAAGTAGTTGGCAGCTGTATCAACAAATATGGGCGCATAAGTATTGAAGTCAGTCCACATATCACAAAAGCTAGAAATGCCTTCCTGAGTCTGCGACATTTTTGACGTCAGTAAGTAGCTTCCCTCGATCTGATAGGCCATGTTTACAAGGCCACAGTGTAGGCCATTTTACTCTTAAGGAGTGAGACTTGGCCCATTCGGTTTGACGACCTGCGGCGCCTCCAAGTCTTTGATCATCGTTGCTTGCAGAACACTGCTGGTGTTGGAAGGTACTAGCATGTCCGCAACGGCACGGTGCGTAAGCGATTGCTAGACAGTGATAAGCAGATTAGTTTCATAGAACAGGCATCAACAACCTTTATTCGGTCGCGGCCCCCCTTTTGAACCTTTCGATTTCTCATGGCCCCCACCATTGATCACCACAATTCCAGCAATCCGCAACCCTTAACAGATGTAAAGCTGTGGTTCCTAGTGGTCATGTTGGCACCTTTTGTCATGATAGCTAGACTTTTAGTGTTGGTCTCACTGCGCTTGCCGGTATAAAACTCATATTTTTAACTTTCACAGCCTTAAGATAACTTTCATTGTGCGGCAACACCAAGCCACTTGTCTGTAATTACACAAAAGCTATCATCAATAGTTAAATTGTATTTAATAATAGCTTTTAACCGATAGGCATGCTATGAATTAGGAAGTATAGTAACGGTAACAATATGTTTGTCAAAATATCATTGCGAGCATTAAGCCTGATGTCCTTGAGCAAGCTTGTTTATGTCCGGTTCCATACTTGACAGAGTCGAAGATCGCCTGTTGCTGGGATGTCCGATCTGTTTCTACCTAGTGTTACAGAAACCACTTTACTGAATCCAACCAAGTATGTGGATGGAAAAGAAGGGAAAAATATTTCAGCTATGTGACACCATCCGGGATATCTGTTAGGGGGATCAGTCTTTATCCAAAAATCCCTTTGAATTGCGTGGATTTCGACCTTGCTAGTGTGTCAGTTTAGGTTTTAAGAGACTTTTGGGTTGTTAACTTCAACATCGCAGGGTTGCAACTCAAATGGATCTAAAATTCACATCGGGATTTCCCTGTCAAGCAGGTTATTTCTTTTCGGAGTTGTTGTAAATGACTGATACAAACAAGCAACTCTTCACCCTTGAGCTCCTTCGTGACTGTAGCGAGAATTAAGAAGTGAAAATTACAGGCATCCGATGTTTTAAGCATACACTTCCAGCTTTTTGAGAAAGGCGATAACGACTTCTTTGCTCGAGATGAGGTTATTATTTTATTCGTGGACCGGGGTTCGATTCCCCGTCGAGGCAGATTTTCGTGTGGAGTTTAACCGTGACTTCTGCCTTCTACGATACTTGCACTACTCACAAACATCCTTCAAATATTATTATTACTATTAACTTATTTATTAAGTTGAATTTTTCAAGAACCTCAGCCACATAAAACACGTCTGGCTTAGCTGTTAACAGCCTTCATTCATAATCAGTTCCAGAAAGGAATGATGGTATCTCAGAGTCCAACAAAACGGTGAAGATAGTTGACTTTAAAGAAGCAATCAACTTCTGCATGTAATAGTAAAACCTGGAAATTGTCACTGTTCTCCTTATACAATTGCTGAAAAAGGCGAGCTTGAAGATGGTGCGATTTGATATTATTGACTACTATTAATAGTTTACAGTGAATTGTTTAAGAGTCCTCCCAAGTTCTTAGCTACTAGGTACTCTCGATGAATCACGCAGTGAATTGTATGAACAGTAGAAATAACAATTTTTATATAAGCGATGAATCCTTTATATCTTCCGACCATTGCAACAGCACCATCTGCTGTACATGCAATTATTTTCTGTATTGGAGTGGAGTTTCTAGTCAAATAGCTAATGACTACCTTGAGTATAGACTGGCCCATGGTGAGTTTTAATTCTCCTGGCAAACAGCATCTCTTCCACTAATCCATGCCACAAGAGCATCGTTGTTAGGTAAAGTAGACTCATCTATTTGTAACGAAAATTTTCTAGACTGTAGTAAAGTAACTAAGTAACTTTCTATTTTATGAGCAATTGCGTCTATTCGCCTAGATACCATTGAATTGCTGAACAGAATGGCTTGAACTGCTTCCTGTGGATTAGTATTAATCAGGACAGACAGTATAAGCTCTTGATGTAGAAAATATATCTGGAGTTTACTGGGGTCTTAGCAATGACCACGATGTTATGTTTATTTGGTTGTAAACACGTCACATGCTCTCGCCCACTCCACGCCGCGCCACACAAAAATACCGTCGCAAACTAGGCCACCGTCCTTCATTGATGGATAGACGAATGTCATGGCGGCACCACAAGTGTCTCAGTTTTGAGAAAGCGAGGCGAGTTCTTGAAATATGCATCGAAATCAAGTCTCCAACGGCTGTGATGCAGCTTCCAATGTAGGCAAAACTCGCCGTAACCTCCAGTGTCGCACCATCAAGAGTGAGTGCAGGTACATGCATCTGAAAGTCTTGGAAAAGAGCTTTGCACTGGGAAAAAGTCATCCCATAGTTTGATGCTTCAATCACCAAGCAGTTGAACGCAAGTTGGACGGCCTGCAGATTGTCACCCAGCAAGACGATGTCATCAGCGTAGTCCAAGACAACAACGCTGCTACCTGGTTGGAGCTCAACACCCGCGCTCAATGAATTTTTCGGAGCATTTTTGAAGATATCCTCAATGGCAAAATGAAAAACGAATGGGGAGATAGGGCACTCTTGTCGAACACCACTGGTGACAACAAACGAATACGAAAGCTTGGCATAAGCAGTAACTCTACCCGAGGTTAGAGTGTACATAGCACACAGTACGGAAACGAACTTCCCGGGGACGCCGTTGCTCAACAAACTGTGCCACAAAGCATACGTGTCGACAGAAGCGAAGGTAGCGCGGATAACCAGGGACACAAACAATCGTTGGTTTTTGGTACACATGGCAGAGCTCGAGGATCTGGAGGTGTGGAGATATGATCGATGCAGCCGCGGCCAGGGCAGAACCTAGTCTGTCCTTCCCACAGTAGCGATTCGCGCGTCGGAGATAGCCTACGAAGTATGGTGGACACCAGAACCTTAGAAATGACGGAAACCAAGAATCTTGTGCGCAGGCCCTTAATGAACATGGGGACGACTATCGACACCCCAAGATAACGGAACTTTCTCTTTCAGGCAGACTTCTGAGAATAAAGCAGTAGGTTTCGAAAGAAGGAATAGTCGCCATCTTTAAATAAAGCGGGAGGTAAGCCATCAGGGCACGGTGCTTTATGGCGCTGCAAGAGGCGGAGTTCCCGCCAGATTTCCTGGTGAGAAAGTGGATCTGTGGGGACAAATCACAGCACCAGTGAGCGCCCCAAAGGGAGCAGATAGAGCTGATGGCCAGCAAAACTGCGAGCCAAAATGTTCACCTTATCGTTTAAGATTAATGATTAGTGGGCCATCCTCCTCGCAGATTATTTTGGGTACACGAGATCGGAAACCTTTGATGGCTAGGATAAGGGAAAAGTTTCCTGATATATCCAGAAAGGCTAACGAGTTCCAGCTCTCTAGCACGTTCAGGTCACCAGGTTTCACGGTCCTTTTGTAGACGTGCGCAATTCTCGATCTAGGGATTGCCGTTCTTCACTACAGCTAGAATCGACCGGAACCGAGCGGCGTCTGTACATCATCAATAAGGAGACAGCAGTGATTCATCTTTTCGGCGGGTGGTGGGTAACGCCGCAACTATCAATGCTGACAGGAACTAAGACATTTTTGATACGCATCCACTGTGGATTCAGGTCATCATCAGAAGCTGGGGTAAGCAGCGTTGAGAAGGAGACCTGGTATTTGGCTAAGGTCGTGGTCTTGTAGGTTTTCTACGCCCAGTCAGTAGTGCGTACGCCTAGGCGGTCCTCCGAAACGCATGCATAACAGCGAGAACCAGTGAGTAATCGGAGTCCAGACAAATTGACCAATAGGAACGACAGTCTGATACACTTCCGCGCTTTGCCTTAAACTCGGTTGAACATAGTAGTAAGACAAAAGTCAAGGTCGTTCCAGATAAGTAATCGTTTCGTACAACTAGTGGACCCGATAAAGCGTTGTGAAAGGGGCCATACTGAGACTCAGACATTGTCTTACTATAAAAGCAACGAAAAGTTCCTCGTGGTCGCACGAATACCATCACGGGGGAGGGAGCATAAGCTACGCTGTGCATTACAGTTGCATCATGAAGATGTCCGCAAGGTAGACTGCATCAGGGAAAAAATATCGTACACGTGCCGCATAGGCCACCAAAAACAGTAGTGTCAGGAGGCAAAAACTTCAGCTAATAACACCGAAACAAATGCCTTGATGACCACCCGGGGAATGCGACATGTTCGACATCACGTTCCGTAATAGTCAATCCTTACTGCATGAAGAGGTTATGAGACACGTAGTCAGCTGAAAGTAACAATTGACTGGAACAGACCAGTACGATGCTGAGCACAGGCATTCGGTGTGGTAACGTTGATCGAAAAAAATTAAGGGGAGGAGGTCTGCGCTGATCTACTCGGGTGTACCATAACGAGATAGTAAATTGCGATTTGATCGAAACTTACCAAACCAGATGGGGCTCGTTTGGCGTCTGTAAAGTTAAAAAGGTTAGATGAATAGATAAAGGCATGCAGGAAGATCGGAGGTAACTGCATACGTATAGAACCAAAGTGAAACAAGGCTACCGAGAATAGCTTTGTTGGTTAAACGCATCTGTTAGATGAGTTGGTTGGGGCGCGAATATATGCAGTTGTTGTTGCGGATGCTAATTGCCATAAACTCACATCAAAAAGATAGGCAGAAAAATAACCTAATACTTGAGAATCGTAAAAGAGATATCCCTCACTGAAGAGAATGAAAGGGACTGCGGACAAAAGCATGTCCGTGTAAGATGCAGCATAAGGAACTCGGTATGAACAAACGGAACCAATCAGCTGAGTGTTGCGTGTGGTTGCGTAAACACAGTTGACACCTAACAGGAAGGAAAACAAAACACTAGGAGCACCTACCTGAACTCGGCCGTGGAAAGCGATCAGATACGGATGCAACTAAGCTAACGCCAACCCGCAGGACAGCGATGCGAAAAACATCAGGGCAAATGATCGGAAGTTCACTTCAGTGGCTCTCCTGCTGTGCCGCGTAAGAGTAGGGTTAATAAGTGAAATGGGACGGCTGATAAACGCTACCACTTATGAGAAAACTGAATAGCTGTTGGATGTATGATACATGTCACTATATGATACAGTCACTATATGCCTATCGCTGTTAATTCACCTGCTACGATAGATACACTGATCAAGTCGTCATGATTCGAAGAGTTGGAAGTCGGCTGGTGGTGGAACTAACGTAGTTGGCAGAAACAACTAAACACTGAACAAAACGGGATTATTTGGAGAGTGAAATTTGTTAACAAATAACCATGGAAAGTATTCGCGTGACTGGGGAGAGTACGCACGCACACAATTGGAGATGAAAGACTGGTGATGCAAGCATGTTTAGTGCATTACGAATAAAAGCATTCATATCGCATTCAGTCTGCCTGATTGGCAACAATGGTATGGTAGAGCGTGTAAAACTATGGAGTGCGGATGTGAAAAGTGTAACAACCTTGCATAGCGAGTTGGAAACAAGCGCCTCGGAAAAAGAACTGTGGATACAATACCACGACGGGTTAAAAGTAGCGTGTCAAAATATGCATTAGTGTGAAAAGGGAAATCAAGCACGGATAAGCGCGATAAGAGCATGCAAAAACCGACGGAAGGGACGAAGTATACAAGTAGGCGGAGTTTGTGAGTCTATTGCATTCGATGATGGAATAGAGAAAAGTATAGGAATTGTCACAGGTTGATGAGGGAAGATGATGCAAAGCTAAGATAGGCACTACAAAAAGAAAACGTGGGACCACATCAACTCAATCAGACACGAACACAAACGATGCACACCAAAAAACCAGGACCATCTGGGTAAGCTCAAATCATGCTAGCGAAAAGAACACATTACCCGGTTAAAAACGGCTGATTCCAAAAAAGTGGGAACGATATGACGGAAAGAACGAAAAGGCAGAATTGGAAGGCAACGATGTTATATACTGCATAAGAGACGACAAAATGCGGATCATATGCTAACAAATGCAGAGAACTGTGATACAACAAAGTGGCCGGTAACCACTGCTAGCCATAAACGGATACCACGGCCTAAAATCCTAATCCAATGCCTCAAGACTGATAAGGTACGAGGATATCAAGATACACGCAAGTGTTACTTAACTCTTACAAACAGCTGCAGAAGAGCAGAAGACATAATTTGAGGTAACAAGAGGTGTAGCACAGGACAGTGTGGAAAACGATTTTCGGTGTAAGGAAAGGAAACAATCTGCTACATGAGAAACTGAAATTTAACTCGTTACCAACATCTAAAACGGATGCACAACTGGCTGTCCGATGTTGCTATGAAACCCATGGGTGGTCGGTGCACTAATTAAGAGCTACACCAGTTGGTCTCGTCCAAGTAACCATGGGCATAAATGCAATGAAGATATGGGGAAATGAAATCCAATTAAAAATGAACGGATACAAATTAAAAGCCATCTAAGAGTGACGAAGAGGAATACTACCAATTTCACCACGTCGTGGGGAATTCCAACCGTTAATATGATTTGTGCCGAGGCTCAACTCAGAAAACTGTAACAACCCGACGGTTTTCGATTGGCATGTGCATGAATTCAGCATCAACTGGTCGCCTCAGGCGTCCCGCAGCTAAGTATTTACAAGTAATGATACCGAGAAAATCCGTTGATAGACTAAAGGACGATATGGCCTAACTCGCATAGACACTTCGGACGATAGATAATCCAACGCATCGTCAGATTCCATGTGGATGTAAACGTCGCTTACTCGGCAGTCTTGGCAGATATGAGCAACGTGCGTATCAGGAGCTGCAGAACATCAATTTGTTAATGTATTCAACTAGCAATGATGCGTCTTTGGGGAACACAGTAACACAGGTAGCATAGCATTGACGTATAACTTTTTTAAGACTGGTGAATAGACAGCTCATCATAGCCAAAGTTTTGAAAAGCCACAGGATTCACTGACGCATGATAAGAGCAGGGTATACTGTCCTGTACTTTTGTTTCCTTTTTTGAGACCATCTGGTTGCGTTGTATATTAGCCCAATAGCTGGGGAGTTCCTCGACCCCAGTCAAAGTGGAGCGCACAATGGCTCTGTTTTGTAATAGTAGTTTGGTTTGAAGCACATGCCAAAGTGTATGGCGATATTGATCAGTAAATTCAGTAGTGTATATATTGGCCGGGACAAATAGGTAAAACTTTATGCCATCCGCGTGCTCGAATTAGCGGTCAGTTACCAGATGGAAACTGCGTCCTAGGAGAGGTGGGAAGAGGAATAAATCGTTCATGGCTAATTCGATCAAGAAGTTGAAGAGAAATAGATGGTGACATTCCTGACGTACTCTATTTATCATGGCGAACTCACAGAAGCTACCCATAGACCTACGCGTGGCTCAAAAGTTTGTGGTATAGGGTTCAGAAAATAAAAAAATCTTCAGAGCTAAAAGGTTTGATTACCGGAATCAAGAGGGGTCTCAAGAATACCATGAAAAGCTGCTTGCATAGTGACATTCGAGAATCAACGAAAAAGACGGCTTCATCAATCGACAACCATGGGAATCAATGAGGTTGCATCAGGATGTATCGTTAATACTTTGGAGGCAAGTGAGATCAAACAGATGTTAAGGTGACTTTCACGAGGCGCTCTTTAGCTCTTCTTAAAATGGAAGTGATGGTTGACAACCGCCAGTCGGGGGCATTTTTTGTATAAAATGACATCGAGCAGAGCAACCAGTGAATAGTCATTGCCCTTGTAGATGATCTACACGTGCTTGTGAACGTGTAGGAATAGGAAACTGTCCCAGCAGGCTGGAACCGTTTCATAATAGTGCAAACTTTCAGCAAAGGCTCACGTTCCGAATGCGACTATCATAGAGGTCGGTCTGATCTCAATTGCCTCTAAGATACTCGCTCTGTCGTCCTTCATAGACTTGCTGGCACCCAGGAAAGCCAGATTTGTGAGGACCAATCCGGGTTTCATCGAAGTCGCGAATGTATTGATGACATTTACATAACGTAGATAGTTGGAGCGCCGCCATATTTATCAGTGCCACCGTAGTTGTGTTCCTCGATATCAAAGGTGCCTTTGAGTTGATTGATCGATGTGCCCTTTGAAATGATCTATTAAAGAAAGGTGTCCGAGGAACAAGTAAATATTATCCGAACGCTTTGCGCAGACTAAGGGCTTACGGCAAGCTGTCAACGCCGTTCAGTATTTCTAGAGGTGTGGGACAAGGAGGCGAGCCGACATTTTTCCTGTTTAACTTCCCCATCGAGGAAATCATGGAGAGTGCGTCTACTGGACATGACCTGCAAGGCGTGGAGCATCAAGGTATCAGCAATAGGCCGGTACGCAGTACCGACGCTTTGCTGCCGCGTAACCATCAACGGTCGCACGTGGGCGAAGATCGCCCAGTTCCTACACTGGTTCTAACCTGCGTCCTCGGATTTAAAAGCAGGACTGTGATCCTTAAGGCCACGGGCGTAGAGCTACTCCCAGGTGATAGACGACATTGTCCTTATCTGTACCAGCTCCCAAACGTGCCAAGTAGCACTGGACAAGTTAGCACTAGCTGTCAGTCGTTTCGGGCTAGGCTTTGCACCCTCGAAATGCAAAGTCCTTCATCAAGGACCCAGCCCTGCGTTGGGAAATTCAGTTATCTAGGCAGCTATATCAACGTCAGCGGAATGGATGAGATCACAAACAGCATAGAAAAGGCTCGAGGCGCACCTGCCAATCTCAGCCCCTATGGTACCTGCGCGACATCACCCTCGCTCTGAAGAGCAGGGTTTACAATGCAGCAGTCCATTCAGCCCTCCTGTACGGCTGTACAACCTGGCCCATCAAGTCCACAGACATAAAGAGGCTAGTTAGGTTCGATCATCGCTGCCATCGCAATATAGCTCATGTCTAGTGGGAGCACCGCGTGAGCAATTAACGTGTTCAGCGCCGTGTATTTGGTGCAGGAAGAGCAAGTGAACCGATCAGCAGTTATTTCACGCATCAGGCTCCGATGGCTGGGTCACGTGTTGCGCAAGCCAGCATATGGACGCTTGCGGCGTGCGTTGTTCACAGAGATAGAAAAGTAGTGACTGCTATGTTCTTACCAGTTAAAACGTGCATCCCTGACATCGTAGCTCGCGATCACTAAGGTTAAAGGCGTGCCACTAGCGTACCTTACCATCCCATGACTGCTGCATAACTAGCGCCCTCATGTGGATATAAACCACGAGGCTCAGTTCTGGAACAATCGACTGTTAATAGCTTGCTCCCAATCGGTAGGCGGAAGGCTAATATGGCCGACAGTCACACAGCTTTGTGCATATTGCCAGTAGCACCTGATATTCAACAATTCAAAGCTGTTGGTATCCATCGACTTTACTGCAATTATATCTATTTAGTTTGTCAACACGCTATGCCCGGCAATTTACGACAAAAAGGATCCGGTAGTGCGCAGGTACACCGTAACTGAGCTTTTGCTATCAAGCCCTAACATTGAGCGCGGTATAGAAATATTATAAGGGCACCAATGGTGTATATTTTCGTGCTACTTTCATAAACACATAAAAAATCAACTTACAATGAGATGTGAGGCACGACGAATAGACTAGCCAAAAAGACTGGGTGAAATTAGTATGACCTTAGTAAATGCAGTTACAAAAGCTACAACGGGTCCTCGATGGACGCAGAGTGGATATGCATTGTGTGCCAACTGTAACTGGTGTAACTTCAGTTGAAAAGCAGTAACTCCAAATCTTGCAGTTAAGAACGCCTTAGAGATCTTGGGTGAAAACTATGGTTGTAGGTAAAGTAAATACGTTCTGAAGGGGAAACGGCCGATGAAAATGCAGCGTTCAACGGAGCCGAATTAGAAAGATAACACGAGAGAAAAGAAACGAGTTATGCGGATCTCTGCTCCGAATGTAGTATGTTTGCTTAATACATGTATTGCTAGGAGTGACATCGGGTGTCTGTTAGAAGACAAGTGCATGGGGTCCGCATATATATATATATATATATATATATATATATATATATATATATATATATATATGTATATATATATATATATATAATGTAGGGCAACAGACAATGCATTCCTATCAGGAGCGTCTGCCGAGGGAACGGTTTCCGTTCGATTTCAAGCCGATGAAAGTCCGAAAAAGCTATGACAGGACAAGTTTCGGACGGAAATCGAACAGTCGGAAAATGGTTGGCAGTACTTAGCAATGAATTTTTTCTCATGAATATCTGCATCTTCGTGATAACTTAAGTACCCCCAGAACATTCTTCTGGAGGCATGAAACGTTAAGGCAGTTAGGCTAACACGAGTATGGCAAAGTAACGCACACACAACGGCTGTTAGGGACGATGAAGGCTTTCGTTTTCCACGTACTGATTTCACTCCGACTTAGAACTCTTGACCCTCCGATGGTGCTGTCAACGTAAACGGTTTACTAAGAATTCAAAGGCAGGATGGGGACGTTAATACAGACGAATTTCGCTGGAGTACTTATTGTTAATAGCAAGCCGGTCGATAAGTGCAAATGGTGAGATTCTACGGCCACGTTATATGATCAACAGTAATCACCATCAATCCGATGCTCTAGCCAACCTGTTTTCAGACGAAGGAAGCCACAAGCCATGGAAGTACAAGGCGCTGATACCTATAGCGCAATAGTTGCGCCTCGTGATGTACCACAGACGAATGCCATATGTTCCTAAGGAAGAAGGATAGCATACAATGCGTCCGCTATTTCAGCTTATGGCCTCCGTAAACAACAATTGTCAGGGGAGGCAATTGTACTACTTGTTAGCACCAGTGCTCCATTTCTGCCAAACAAAAGCCATGACAAAACAAATTTCGGATAGAAATTAGAAAATCAGTAAAGATTTAGTGGCACTTATCCATTCTTTCACAACAAATCTCAATCGCCACTTCTATTGACTGATGCATCCAGTTGATCGCTCAAGAAGCATTTGGCATGGAAACCCCCCTCCTTGGAATCGTTTGGTGACATGTCCACAGTAGCTATAACACGGACATTGGACAGCGTCTGACGGCAAACAATTACGAGAAACAATGCATGTAAACGACAGATTAGGTAGACCTCCTACACGCAGATTTTATTCACGATATTAAACGCAAGTTGGAAATTTAACCGTCCGGCTATGCTACAAATCTGTAGCTATGAAACGAACTAAACAGAAGATGTCGCATTGATCGTAGTAATACAATATAAGCAACGTTCTAATCGAATTCTAAGGATTCAGTGTCCCGTTTGCCGATTTATCTCAAAAGCGCGCCGGACATTCCTCCTCGCTTTCTTAGCTTACCCTTCCCTTTTTCTTACTTCATTTAAACCGGCCAGGCTGGGTCTGATGGACAGGAGAGGTGGACAGTAACTGGTTGGACAACGTGTGATGCGGGCCTTTTTTAGACTGCAACATTTTAAACACCCGTCAATTCCCGGTTCAACAATACGCAATATTGTACGAACATTCACGGGATCATCCAATCGTTCCGGTCCGCACTGAACTTGAAGTGAAATGGCCCTATTTGTGTCAGAGCGATGTAAAGTGAGACAGAACAATAAATAAACAACGTAACGATTTAGTTAAATGACAGTTACCTCGGGATTGGGCTGAAGGAAGTCGGATGCGAAGAGAGCTCATCGACTTAGGACCTCGGAGGATTTCTTACTAACAGAGGCGGGAAGTTGAGTGCGATCTACGTTCAAGCGGGACTGGAACGATGGGATAGATCCCGTGAGTGTTCCTTCTTCGGCGGGTCGTTGAACCAGGAGTTGGCGAACTTTGAAATACTGATGGACCTAAAACAAAGACCGCATCACACCCTGTCCGGTACAACATTGTCATCTACGCAGCATTTTTAATTATCCAAAAAAGAGCGAGAAAAAAATAACATGAACTGATTGCATAACAATTGAACCGAAGCAAACCGTTGTATCAATTGTATTGTACGAAAGTTATACGCCTTTGTAAAGTAGTTGGCAGGTTCCGTAAGAGGTAAATGAATCGGAATGAAAGCACTTTACGATTAATTGATCTATAACTTTTGGGATCTGTTGATTAATTGCTTATCAGCACTGAATCAAAAAATATACGGCCACAATACATGAATATGTGGAGCCTTGAACAACAAATTTTTTTACCGTTTCCTTGCTCTGTTAGTGCAATAGCTTGTAAGATTTGCGTCCTTAATGCTATAATTTAACTAAACAATGCTTCCAATCGCATTGCAATCTATTGCTGGCCGCATGTGTTTGTCGTGCTGTATTCTGTGCTCAGTGCGCTGTCTAATGTTTACATCCAATTTTCAAAAGCAAATTAACTCTGTTTCGTTTTTTATTGCGACCGAACAAATTGATAATGGTACGGACCAGGCCACTCATATTTCAGACCAGGCCCATGTGTGTAGCAATACCGGGCGTGAAATATTGCTTATCTAGGAGGTAAGGAGGTCACTCTACTTAGTCTCTGCACCACTTCGTACTGTTTGTTGTATCCTATTACAAGGTGGTTCAAGTTCAGGTTCTCCAGGAACCGTCGGATTTTCCCATGGATGTTCATTGTGTTTATTTAGTTCAATGTGTGCTAGAGAGTAGAAGGGTGGAATCGCTTCGGCTCCTTCATCAACCGATCTTCTAAGAATTGCAGGCGTATTAGCTGTTGGATAGCTCTTTAGGTAGTAGCAGCCCTGCAGGATCCTGGAGTACTCAGTTGGAAGAAGTTTAGCAAACGTTGTAAACCCCGCTTCTGACGACGCGATAACAATCGGGTTCGGCAGTCTATTCCAGTCATTAATTATTCGAGTAGAGAGCCACATCTGAGCGGACTTTGAACCTCCTCGTTATAAACAGATTCCAGCTATGACCTCGAGTCTAACTACCAAGTCCTAGCTGAAAAAACTGCCTCAGCTCGTTTCCCAATTTTATTAGTTGGGTACGCCTGGTATAGATGATGTTTCCGTGACGTCGGCGATAATCTGAGGGAAAATCGTTGTTGCTCTGTAGTCGGGTGGGATCCGGGAGTTTGTGTATCCCATGGACAAATTACGAGGCTCGTCGCTGAATTTTTTCTATCTTGTCACCTTCATGTTTAGATAGAGGAGCTATGACCGGATGTCCGAATTCAAGGATAAGCGGTTGTGGGAGGCGAAGAGAAGTCTAAATATCTGCGGCATAGTTTTTGAGAATGATCTCCTTATGACGCCGCGCATCCTCTTCGCCGCAGCAGTTTTCTTTCAGGTGTCAAGGTATAGTTTTGAGCTCAGAGTATACTATTGTTCCCAAGTCCTTTCTTGTGTAGCAATCTCGAGTAGGTGCTCACCAACGTGATATAGGCCCATTGGTTCAGCAGCAAAGATAGAAAGGACAGAGCACTTATCTTTGTTGACCGGCGGGCCCCACTTACTACACCAAGCGTTTCCTGTAATCAGTCGGCGTCTCCGATGTAGGACACTTACGACCATTGCTTGAGTTCGTCTGCATATATCCGACAGTCCGTCTGTAGCATCCTTGGTAGGTCATTGATAAATACCTTTAACAATTCCGGTCCGAAAACGGAGCTTTGTGGTAGCCCACCGGACATAGGAACTGTAATTGAAAGGACATCGTCTACCTTGACTTGCAACTTCTGGCCTTGCAAGAGGTCACTGCTCCATTGTAGGGGTTCCCAGTTATAGTAATTCCGCAGAGCTAAGAGAGTAGTTCCTGATGAGGGACTCTGACAAAAGCTTTGCTGAATCCGATGAAGACCACACCTAAACCTTTTGCAGCGTCCATTGACTTAGCGCACTACTCTCTTGCGACCAGCAGGTTAGTGTTGCAGGAACTGCCCTTTCGGAGACTATGCTGCGTGGACGAAGTGATGTACAGCTCCTAGCAGTGTCGGTGGATGACACCTTTAATAAGCCTTTCCATGCTCTTGCAGGCGGACGACGTCAAGTAAATTGGCATATAGTTCGCAAGGTCCTGGCGGTTTCCACCCTTGTATTTCGGCACAATTACAACCGACTTCAAATCGACGGGTAATCAGCCAACTTTAAGAGAGAGCGGAAAAATTTGACAAATTGGGACGGCCATGAATTCTGCTACAATCTAGAAAAAGTGGGAGTGTGACGCGTCTGGGCCTAGTGCTGAAGCTGAGTTCAGTTCTATCAGTAACTTCATGGTAGCACCAGCACCAATATCGATTTGTCCCAAAGTTACTGTATGTGCAATACATGATTGTTTGCGTGTTTGTCTCCCTTCGTGTATGATGAGAAGAACTGTAGAGCCAAGAGGTCAGCTTTGGCGTCATCACCATGATGTATTATACCTGGCTCACACGTAGACAATGCAGAAATTTTACAGTAGGCCTTGGAAAATAATTTAAGGTATGAAAAGATTCCTTTGGTCTAAAGAGATTGTTCAGCCTGGCTATGCTCATATCGCTGGCTCTTTACACGTTTCTTCAGGGAGCAGAACTTCCTGCTAGCCTTGTAGTTAGAGTAGTCTGAGTCTAAGCGGGAAATCATGAATTGGTCCCGTAGTTTTCATCGTTGTTTTATGTTCGCCCTGAGTTCTCGACCGATCCAGGGGACCTTTAGAGAGAAACCTGTCACTGTGTATTGGGACGGCCTCCTCAATAAGCAGCTTCAATTTAGAGAACGGGTCCTTCCAGGCAGCATCGAGTTATAAGCGTTGGGAAACCTTCCATTCCAGCGTACTCACTGCCGTACTTAGCTTGGATGCGTCGGTCCGCCAGAACTTTTGTTGGTGTGCGCTCCGGGCTCGAATTGCCACGTCGAAAGATAATAGAGTTCACAGGTTTGATTGGATACCGTGGAGAGCCAAATAAATACACAGGAATTACATCACGGTCAACCAATGAACGCCCATACGCCCTGCACTAGAAATCCCCGCTATACCGGTCAGAAAAATACGAACAAAGTCTAAGAAAACGGCACTTACCAAAACAGAATAGTTATAATTGTAGTACAGAGGAGAATAGATAGCTAAGTCAATATTAGCAACAAATAGTGAGAAGTCTAGAAAAAGAATGTAGAAGTTATTTACCAAAGGAAAATGTCTGAAGCTGTTAGTCAATGGCATCGAGTCGATGTTCAAACTCTTTCACCGTTTTTGCTAACACGACTTCGATGGGTAGCGCGTTACATGAGTCGATGACTCTGAGTGATAAACGAGCTATAGCTCTAACGAGGTCAGATCTGGACTTACGCAGCTGCGGATTTTGACCACGATGAGATGGCATTTGAGCCAGAACAAACAGTCAGTCAGCTCCGGCCCAATTATGCCAGTCAATATACAGCGCGTAAGAAACAGGTTTTTCCGAAGGCACCCAAACTGCCGTGAAACCAACTGCAATCTGAGCAGCCTGTCAGGAAACGACAGGTACCTCAATCCTTGTACAACTTTTGTGCCAATCCTCAGAACGCGTTCGACTACCATATTTTGGCGGACCATGCACGGATACCACGCCCGCACCCAGTACTCCAAGTGTGGCCTGACAATAGCTGATAACAACGCAACAAACAGTTCCTTTGTTATGGTGCAGAACTACCTGCGGCGCATCCCCAGCATTCAGAGTACAATGCGGGTAGCAGTCTGCTAGTATTTGCCCTATAAGAATTAAGAGGATAGCGAGCTATCAATCTGTTCAGCCAATTTGGGCACTACATTTTCGCCAAGTATATAATGACTTCTGGGAGGGCTTGCTCCTATGCGCCGGACCGAACTCTTGACAAGCTTCCTTGGCAGGTGTCACCAACTTGACCATTCCCATAGCTTGTCAAGCTCTGCCTGCACTGCCACAGGACTATCGCGATCTCTCCTTAGATTAGAAACTTTCATGTCATCCGCATACATAAGGGATGGTAGCTTAAGCTTCTCATTGCCGTTGCCATACAATACAAACAGTAAAGGTCCGAGAAGCGACTCCTGAAGTACACCACTTAGGGCTGCTTGTCTGAGAGGCAGCCCGAAAGCCATTCGAACCCCTATCTGTCTATCTTCCAAGAAAGCCAAAACCCACATAATACTTGGCCTGAAGCGTGGTTGGATTCTAGGTTAAACAAAAGACGACAATGCGGAACGGTGTCAAAGGCTTTAGGAAAGTCAATGAACAAAACATCCACAGCCTATCCTAGATCCACAGTCTCAGACCACGCGCTACCAACGTGTGGTTTGAACAAGAGTGACCACTGCGGAACTCATGTTGAGGCGGGCTGAGCAAGCTGAACTTTGCCAAGCGTTTCTCCAGTGCATCTCTTACGACCTGCACTAATACTTTAACTAGTACATTTGTTAGGCTAACCGGTGTTTAAGTTTCAGGTAGGTGCTTATCACCCATTTTGAAAACAGAGCACAAGATAGCGTCGCTTCAGGAAATGGTAGCGATCATTCACGAACTGACTTCTCAATAAGGCAGGTACTCGGTTTATACAGCAAAGCAGCCTGCTCGTATAAAACCTTGGGATGAACAGCATTTATCCCAACAGCTTTAGTAGGATACAGGTCAGGTAGGAGCTTGCTTACCTGAGCATTAGTGATGGAAATGTCCGTCAAGAAGTAATCCACTGGGATCTTTGCTTTTAAACAGATATTCGGCAACGAGGAATCGTAAACGCACAACCGTGCATACCGCCCCAG